GGTGTTGTCCGGCAGCTTTGCTGGCTCGTTCTGGTGGAAGTTATATATATGTGTCTGTATATACGTGTATAGGGGTATGTACAGACACGCATAGATTTATATATATATGTATATGCGTTTGTATGGATACCTTTATATAGCTGTACGTTTGATGTGTAAGTGTAAATACAAAATACTTACATTTATATATGTGTTTGTGTATATATGTATGTAAAATATTAAATATATTTCTGTGGAGCGGTGGAATTCCTGCCCTGCCATCGAGGATTTTCGTTGGGAGCGCTGCCAGCACACCTCCAGTGGCAACCAGGTTTTTTAAACCTTAGAAAGGGCAGCTGGAGAAAGTGCCTGTGTGGGTGCTCCTGACCTCCTGCAAAATCTGTCTGACAGGTTGTGTTGGGGTTTTTTTTGTGGTTTTGAGGTTTTTGCTTTTTTCTTAAATGCCTGTTGTCGCCTTCTCGCTCTCTGCCAGCTGCTGTGTGCCAGGCCAGGCAGGCCATGCGCTTGGATGGACACGGAAGCTGCTCCTGAAGTCAGACCCAGGCTTTTGGGGTTTTACTGGTGTCAATAGGTCTGCGGGGCTGTGGTGCCTTTATTCTGTGATGAGGAGTTGACTGCTAGGGTGTTTGGGCTTAATGCTGGCAAAATAATCCTTGTGATGCTGGGAGGGTCTGATTTTAGCTCTGCCAGCTAAATAACCCTCTGGGGACATGTGATGTCCCTTTCTTGGGGGCAAAAGAAAGCAGGACTAGTTCAGCTGTGTTGGTGTGCCCTAAAATAGAAAGAGAGGGCTACAAACCTCTACTGCTTCCCATAGCATCGTGTTGTTTTTGCATTCTGGGGCTGAATGTGAATGACATTTGCAAGTTCTCTTTTGACTATTGAGATGTGTTCCAAGTCCCCTGTCACTTTAGCAGCGTGCATGGTTTGGCTTTATTGTCAGGAACCTGGAAATCTTTTGGCCCCACCACTTAGAATTTCTTAAAGTGTTTTCGTTGTCTTCGTATTTACCAACAACAGTAATTGTTACAGCTGGGATTTAGGAGAACATCAGGCTGTCGGTGTCAGCCTAAGGCTTTCTCTTGGTCTAAATATAGCGAAGGAAGGCTGATTCGCTTCATCTAATTGCTATCAAAGAGCACAGTGCGTGTAAGCAGGAATTTTAACTCTCAAGTGGATTACTAAGTATTCTGCCAGCGTATAGCGGCTGTTCTGTGCTGTATACAGTGCTGGTGTTATTTGTGATGGATGAAATGCAAAGCCAAGGATTTAGGTTTGTATGCAGCACAGTGATGTTGCAGCATGAAATTAAAAGGCAAACCGAGGCTACATCCTAATGGTACTGTAAATTGGCCCAGTTTTGTCAAAATCCATAAAGCTGGCGTATCGCAGTTGAGTCCCTTGCACCAACTGGAACGAGAGAAATGGTGACTCTTGCTGTCCCGCAGGCCTCATGAGACTGCTGTAAAGCAGGAGTAGTTGTATTCCCACCTCAGCTGCTCTATTATAAGAAGTACTTAATACTGACCTGGTTTTTGTCCCCTTTCAGTTTTGCCATAGGGTCTGAGAGTTTGGTCTTTCTGCTCTTAAATATCGTATCATTTTGGAATGGGACCTAAAGGTTTGAATCCATCCACAGAGGAAAAGAGAAAAACCTTGTCTGATAGATGCCCTGCAATCTACTGGGCCACTTTGATGATGGTCTGGCACGTGTTGTTCATCTCCTTTGTTTATTGCATTGGGTAGACAATTGCTCTAGAGCTTTCTGTGAATATAGATACAGCTTCCACTTCCCCCCACCCCAAAAGCTCTTCTGTAGCCAGAAAGGAAGTGTGCTTGTCTCAGCCCTCCATGCTTTCCTTTCCTGAACCGTCCTTCCCCCTTTTCAGCCCAGCACTGGAAAACACAGTCAGTATATGCACAGATATGTGTCATGCATGTGAGTAGGAAAGAAGGTTCTCGTGCTTTGCATCATATCCAGCGTCCCCGGGAGGCAGAAATAATTTCTGCAAGGCCCCTTCCCATAGTTTAACCAGTGAAATGCTATCAGAAAACAGTGTGGCTTTCTAACACCCCTTTCCTGGTTGCCTGGTGCCCTGTGGCTCTCCTTCTGCTTGACCAGCAAGCCCCTAGGGCAGAGGCTTTCTCTTCTTTTGCTATGCTCAGCGCAAAGGGCGCTGTCGTGATGGGTAGGTGGGTGTGACAGTAACCAGTCTGGTCCCTCCTTCCCTGAAGGACAGGCTGCTTTGACCAAAGCTCTCTCGGGAAGCCAGCACAGCCTTGGTGCCAGTTGTAAGTGCTGCTCTGAGTGGCATCAGACAGACTCCTTGCTGGGCCAGTGATGCAGCAGAGATGGAGGGCCAGTGTTCCTGACTCCATAAACTGTATGTCAAAGACCCCTGCCTGGCTAAGAGCCACGCTGCCAAAGGTGGTGTTCCATGTGGTCATGGAGGTTAGTAATTAGTACTGTGTATTTGCTATTGATTTAACTCCTCTGGTGGGTACAACTTGGGAGTTGAAAGTAGGCTAATTGGCTCTCCCTTCTAAGTCCTCTGCAGAATTGCTCTGCTCACCTAGCAAAAATCACGTGGCAGTTTCTTAAATACTGGGAGAAAAAGTTCTTTAATATTTTCAATGAGTTATTAAAACCTAAATATTGGTCCCAAACTATCAGATAGTTCACTGGTCTCTGGCAGGGGCAGAATGTTTTGAAAGTTATTTAAATTCCCTGGGTTACAGATCCCATGGCATGCATAACTTAACCTGTTCACAGATCCAGAAGTATATTATGACAGAATGACTTTATGTGGCTGACTTCTTTAAAGGCCTAAATCCAGTCACTGACCCAGAATCTAGGCTCTCAGCTGTAAATTGAGCCCCCGCGTGCTTGGTCAGGAGAGTGTGTTAAGCACCCAGAGTGGAGATTTCGGGCTCTGTAAGAAGTGCAGGTGTTGGGCAGCTCGCTCGGTAAGAACACAGTATTGTGGTGAAGCTGACAGACCTGGGTTGAGCGCTACCCTGCACTTGTTTCCCATAACTGTACCACTTCTATCACTGAAAGAGGAACAAAATGATATGAAAAAGCTTGAAGAGAAGGCTTTGGGGGAGCAGATGTGTGAAAAATGTTTCCCTTGGGTAGGCTGAGTTGACATTCTACAATTTCTTGAAGGTACCAGATGTGTTGAGGAGGTTGTGAAAGAAAGGGGAATCTTTCACTCCTCCCTCTTTCCTTCCTCCAAAATGAATCTCAGTTTCTTCAGTGAGAAGCGAGAATATCTTGCAGCTCTCCGATGTACCCACTCTGACCTCTCAAGCTGGCTGGTAGACAGCACAGTGTGCTGGTTGGACTGTGAATGCATGACTCGGATTTAAGTGATGGAGTCCAAGTCACATGGCTTTTTCAGCTTCCTCCTCTGAGTTGGATTATTTCCTAAGCACACAGGCTTTTTCTCGCAGGATAGTTGAGTAAAATACTGCAGAGGAGAGGAGGTATTCCTGAGGATATTACTGCTTTACAGTGCATTAGAGATCTGGGTTTGCTTATGGACAGGTGGCTGAGACTCAGATGGTGACTGAATTATCCTTATTTACTCGAGTTGCTTTGTTAAGCTGACTTAACTAAGGTTCAAAGGAATTTTGCTATCACCCGCCTTTAGAGCTTCCTGAAATCCTGGCTTTTAAGGCTTTTTTTCCAGTATCCAGGGTAGTGCACCTTTTCTCTCTTGTGTCTAGAAAGAAGAGCTGTTCCTTTTCTCTCTGCACTGTGCCACTGCTTTGCTTGTTTTTCTGCATGGTAGTAGGTGGAAAGAGGCCAAACATTTCTAGCCCTCACTTTTATACTCTGTGTTGTTGCTCATCCAAGTGATTTTGCTTTTAATTGCAAGGCAACATAAGGAAAAAAGGGGCTCACCTAAGGAGATAGGTCTTTCCCCTTCTACACAACCTTCTCCTTGTCCGTGGGCAAAGAGAAGAACTGCTTACAAAATTCAGCTGGTTAATAATCAGTCGTAACAGGGAGAATAGCACGTAACTCCTGGTTTGTGAAGCCAAGGCTCCAGGTTACTAAGAAACTTCTGCCACCCGCAGATGCTGGCGGGAGTGCTGTGCGGGCTGAGCTCTCGGCTTTCTAGCAGCAGCCAGTACTTGAGGTGAAGCTTTGTTTGGCCTGTACAAAACAAACACTAAGCGCTGGGAAACCTCCTTTGTGAAAGTCAAGGTGTATTAGTGGGAGAGGGTAAATAGAGGCAGCAACTGTGAAAGCTGCAGCAAAGAAAATGTATTGAATCGCTTCGGTGCTGCATTTTGCTCTTCTCCCTGTCTGCAGAAGTCACGGTGCCTTTCACTGAGCGGATTGCCAGGCCTGGGGCGGCAGCAGGCTGAACCGGCGCTGGGAAGGAGATGGAGTTACACAGCGTGCTGTAGCCTCCCCGCTGAAACTCTGTTTCCTCGTCAGACTTCCAGCTGTTTTCACCGTGGTGTTTGCTGTGTCTCATTACGTCTCCTCTGCTTGTCCCTTCAGCCTCGAGTAGTGCTTGGCCGTGTTCCCTGAGAGAGCGACGATGATCACGTTCATGAACAACTCGGACAGTGAGGAGGAGCCCTGCAATGAGAGAACATCCCTGATGTCTGCAGAGAGCCCTCCAGTTCCCTCCTACCAGGATGGCCTGCAGGCCTCAGAAGCAGGGGAAGCGCAGGCACATAGGGTAGGTGTGTGCCCTCCCCAGGGAGTGAAACCGTGGAATATGATGATAGATGTAGTCCTGCTACCCCTCCATCCCTCCCAGCAGGCTGGCTTCCAGGGTTGGCTTTGGCCGGTGTTGTTTCTCTGGTGTCATTCTTCCAGGCAGCAGCAGCAGTGCCAATTCCTAGTTCCTCTGTTGTGACTTTTCCCCAATTTTTATCTCCATATATACTCCTCCCTTTCCTTCCTTTTGATAGAGATACAAACTTTTAATCAGGACCTGATGACTCTTGCAGGATATCCTTTTCAGCCTTCTTGTTTTGCCAGAAACCCTTTGTCTGCTCTGGTCAGATGCAGCAGATGTTAGAGCAGAATCTAGTTCTTCTGCCAGCAGTGCAGCGCGGGGTAAAGCAAGCACGGCCTTGCTGTGGGGGGAGGAACTGATCAACCTTACGCCACTTCAGATATGACATTTCTTTTATCTCAGTTGTGTGCACCGTGCCCTTGATATGTGTGTGTCCATCTACGTATTTGTACTTTAAGAGGCCCTTAGATATTCATGGTTTTGGTTTAAAAGCTCTATTGCAGCCTGTTTGTAATGGAATTTCTAATCGTGTCATTCAGTTGGCACATTCCTATTAGGAACAAGGTGAAATATGATAGAATGAAGCTTTGAACACAAAGAAGTGTCTTTTTTATTTGTTAATATTCCTTTCCAGAAGAGGCGAACAGGTAGCAGCCGTAGCCCTAACGATACTGCTGATGGGGATATGTCCAACTCGGGTGTTCCAGTGCGAGAAAGCGCCTTGGAAAATGAAGAGGAGGAACTGACTCTGAAATATGGAGCAAAGCATGTAATCATGCTCTTTGTGCCTGTCACCCTTTGTATGATTGTTGTCGTCGCCACCATAAAGTCAGTGCGCTTCTATACGGAGAAAAACGGGCAGCTGTAAGTGGGGTCTTCAAAACAGCCTGAGTACGTGGGATCCCTAGATTTACACGAGCGTTCCCCACGCGTGCATCTGTGTGCGCAGAGAGCTTTCTTGGCAGGTTGGGAGAACCTTTACACAGCTAAAGGTGGCTCTGTAAACACGCAAAGATCTTACACAGATGACCGTAGCACCCTTTAGTAAGTTTTTCCATACCTGCGTTATACCGGTTCCTTAGTGCTGTCATTAGGGCACCCTACGTGAAGCCTGTGAGCAGCGTAATAACGAAGTCGCTTCACGCTGCAGCATAAGAGGCCCAGGCTGAACTCCTAGTCTGTCACTCGCTAGCTGGTTGCAGTCAGGGAATAGCATCTTCATTTGGATGAGTGTCTCATTTCCTGATGACATTTTTGGTTCCTCAAGGTTCACGGTGTGGATACGTAATCCTGTCCAGCTCTCGCTGACGGTGCCTGGGCATGCTCCCGGGGCTCTGACTGCGCTTCACGCATTGGGTGGAGAAACAGGGGCTGTGGCCTCTCGAGCTGTACCAAAGGGAACAAAGTGGGGGTGGGTGTGCGTGCAAGGTGATGAGTAGGGATAAGAGACTCCAAGACTCTCCTACCAAGTGTGGAAAGAAAGGGTCCCTGTCTTTCAGGACAGCACCTGGGATGCACCCTTATAATTATCATAGAATCATAGAATCATCAATCATGGAAAGCATCCAGACCATGCAATAAAAACTCATTGCCTGGAGAGAAGTTACTAAACTTAAAAGTCATTTATACTCCAGGTCTTTTTGTGTAGAGCTCTGCCAGCCACAGCTGCTCTGTAGGAATGTGCTTTTGATAGAGACCACTAATCTTCAGTTGATAATTAACTGGAGTCCAGCCCCTTCAGAGGCTACATCTCATGTTTGCTGTCCTTGGCAGTCATGCCTCCCTTTCCTTCCCACACACAGAGAGGTCTGGTTTTATCCTGGGGCAGTTAGAAGAGAATACATATACTATATAGGGCTTTTGTTTTATACTGCAGGATCTACACCCCTTTCACTGAGGATACCCCATCGGTGGGCCAGCGCCTCTTGAACTCGGTGTTGAACACCATCATAATGATCAGCGTCATCGTTGTAATGACTGTGTTCCTAGTTCTGCTCTATAAATATCGCTGCTACAAGGTAAAGCGTTCATGCCAGAGCCTTTTCCACCCGTACACAGTGAACTTGCGTTCAGGCGGGGCTTACGCATCGGTGAGAAACACAGCCGCTGCGAGTCCACCTCTTAGTCACAGCAAGAATCGTTGTCCAGGGGCCTGTGACGGTGCTGGTAGAGCTGTGCCCCTGGACATGCTTTGCTGTTATTTTTATCACTAATGGTAGGCTCTTAAAAACGAGGCCTGCTACTTTGTGTTAGTCAGGTCTGAGTTTTGCCGTTTCTCGTTACGGATAAGTTGTTCCATTTATGTGAATGCCTTCTCTGGGGAAGTTTCAGACAAGCTTTGTGGGAACTGGTATTCTTCCTGCCTGCGGAGGCTCTAGTGGAAGGGGAAAGGCACATTCAGGTTTTGGAGTGCGCAGAGAGCTGTTATATGTGGTACCAGCCCAGCATTTGAGCACTGGCCACTGCTGCTTTTTAAGCTTGGCCCTGAGATGGATTTATTGTACAGCCTTGGGCAAAACCCTCCTCCTCCCCACCAAGCAGAGAGAATGTGCTGACCTAGGCTAGGAGCCAGGGTGGATATGGATAAGAAAGACACTAAAAAAACCCAACCAAACCAACAAAAACCAAGACCAAGGGATAGAATATAAATGAAAGAGTTTGGGAGAACTGGGAGCAACTGGCTGTCCTTCCTCCCTCACCAGCAGTGGGGAAGGCAGCGTCCTTGGAAAGAGAGGAGTGCAGGAGGAGACTGTTGGACAATAGGAAGCTCTGTTGGTAGTGCATGCAGCAGTGTGACCTGCACGAGGAGTAGCAGCCCCTGCAATTGCTGTCTCTTCTTCCCTTGATAGTTCATCCATGGCTGGCTGATCCTGTCCTCTTTGATGCTGCTCTTCCTCTTCACCTACATCTATCTTGGGTAAGTGGGAATGGTGCAGGTAACCTGGCAGCTCAGGGCTCCTTCACCTCTTTGCAGAACATCCCCAGCTTGAACAAGGAAAGGCGTGCCTCCTCTTCTCCAGATGGAGGTTTAAAAACAGCTGGAAGGAGGAAAAAATGGAAATTGAGGTCTTTAAGAGGCAATGCCTGATTTTACAGTGCCTGCTCACTTCCCACTTCTACAGTGGGAAGTGACACCATGAGCATGGAATGAACGGGCTGAACCTTGTGGTACAGAGGCCCCGAATTGTACGTTGAGAAGCAAGTGGAAAGGAGCTTTATGTGCTGAGTTGGGTCTCTGATTTGTCTTGCCTTTTTCTGAGACTACATTGTTTGAAGCTCATTGCCTTAGCTCCTAGCCCAGGTAGAACCCAGCTTTTAACTTGTGGGTGACATTTGTGAGCATCATCCAGCGGGTGGGGTGACCGACACATGACTTTGCTGCAGCTGATCATGTAACTGCAGGTCTGCGTGCAGTGAAGACTTGAAATCCTGCCTGCTCGCCCCCTTGGCAGCACTGTTGACCTCAGGACCGAGGCAGCATGATGGATGCCTGCACGTGCAGCACATCCATCTCCTGCAGGAGGAACAGAGAGCTGAGAGCAGCAGTTGGCTGCAAGGCCGGTTCCCCTTTCATGATGACAGCCGCTGTATCCTGCTTCCTTCTGGCGTAGTAGGAGGCTTGTCTGTTTAACTACACCTAGTAGGATGCTTTACGTTGTCAGTTGCTTTTATTGCTTAGCTATGTTTTTTTGTTGTATTCCAGTGAAGTATTGAAGACATATAACGTGGCCATGGATTACCCTACTCTGTTCTTAGTCATCTGGAATTTTGGAGCTGTTGGAATGATTTGCATCCACTGGAAGGGTCCCTTGCAGCTCCAGCAAGCATATCTCATTATGATCAGTGCTCTAATGGCACTGGCTTTCATTAAATATCTACCTGAGTGGTCAGCATGGGTGATTCTAGGTGCAATCTCCATCTATGGTAAGTCTGGGCTGTGGCTCATGGAGAGGTTACTCTAAGGCGATCTCAGGACCATGTATGTCATTCAGAAAACAACTTTATGGTGCTGACAGCTTTAGAAAGAGGCAGATGGGTAGTTGAGTGGAGTCCCTGGCTTGTCTTTTGCTAACCTGTTTGTGTAGGTACTGTACTCCTACCACGTGTCTCAAATTGGAACATCGAGCCGGGGAAGCACTGAACCACATCTAACTGCATGGCAGGGGGTGGTTGCATTTCTGTCGGCAGCAACCTGGTAGTCTTGCAGGTTTCATCAAGAGATCACGGATTTTGGTATGTGTTACCAGCTTCAAGAGAACCTGCAGAACAAGAGGTAGCCAGGAGGTAACATTCAGGTTGTTGAGGAGCTCCAAGGGAGGAGAGGGTGTAGGCAACGAGGAACTGGACCAAAGGCCTTCATTTGTGTGAAACACAGAGTCAGTGTATGTAGTGATGGATTGTGGAACATGAACAAAGTACCCCCAGTCCTCCTCTAATTAAATTTAACACCTCGATGTAATGCTGTCATCTACTTTCAAAGAAAAAATGTAATCTCAAGAGGCTTTTTATAGGATTAGCACAATGAAAACTCTTATTACTACATTAAGGCTTGGGGATGGTATCTGAAGTGAACAACATCTTCAGGGACTAGAACAGCGAGAGTTATGCAAAGTGGCAGAAACTGCCACTCAGGAGATCATCTAGTTAATATTGATAGGTGTAATTTTGAGGAGAGAATAGCTTTTTAAAGATAAAGAATGTAAAATATGCATGAGAGTTTGAGACGAGATTGTCTGGCCCTTTTCTCTTTGCAGATCTGATGGCTGTTCTCTGTCCCAAGGGGCCACTGAGAATGCTGGTAGAAACTGCACAGGAGAGAAATGAGCCCATTTTTCCTGCATTAATATATTCCTGTGAGTAAGATTAGAATGTTAATGGTTTTTAGCTAGATTAAACTCACGACCTATTTCTGTGGCAAACCAGAGAGTGCTATTTTAGGTATTTCCTTGCCCTAAGATTGGTGTTCTGGAACAGACTGTTTGTAGGAGGCCTTGATTGTCAGTTACAGTGGTACCAACTCTAACTGGCCAAAGAGGGCCCATATTTGCCTTGTGAAGCTGAAATGGTCAAAAGTAGATTTAACCTTTTGTCTACACTGCAGAACATAAAACAGAACACTGTGCACACAAAACCTTTATTAGATGGACAGTTAGCAAAGTTCTGTGATCAGATGATGCTCGCTCTGTATATTTATTCCTTCTGTATACACTTTATAGACAAACTTTAGGCATGTGATGAGGGTACGTTCTTCCTGTAGCCCCCTCCTGCTCTGTGTGCTGTATGGTTGGCAATGCTTAGAATGTATTTACTTCGTTGTTCATTATGTGGCTGCTCACTTTGTAAAGGGCTTTATTCAAGTATTGCTCTGCATACAAAATCAGTCGTCTCTTCCCTGGATTTCTTGGGCTGTTTCAGTGTGATGCTGTCTGGTGCCCTTGTCCACAAAGATTAAGGTAGTTGGAAGGCAGGCGACTCCATGCTCACAGGACCTGCACTCCAGTGCTTTGTGGACCTCAGTGACTTTTTCATTACATCGCTTGTAAGATGGATATTTCCAAATGCTGGGTGCTAAGCTGAGGTTGCCTCCAACCTGACTGATCCTTTTTTTTTTCTTTTATCCAAGCACTTTATGTTATTGAGCAGCATTTATATGTTCCAAGCAGAGCTGCTTTGGCATCAGCTGACCTCCCTTTCACTGGAGATTCTGTTATACTGACCTGAGAAAATCTAAATGAATTCTCTCATGTGTTTTAGTAACAAGCAAGAGTTTCTTTAAAGCAGAATGCAATCCAGCAAATAATAAACACCGAACAAAAAGTTCTTGTGCAGAATGTCAGCGTCTCCATTGCAAGACCACATTCTGTGGCTCCCTCTAGATGCAAAAACATCACCTTGGCTGAGCTTGTAGTGGAAAAGCGGGCACTGTGTTTGCCTTGGCTTATTTTGTTTAGTTTAGCTTCTATAAAAACAGGAAGACTGATGCATGCTTAAATAAGCAGCTGATTTGAGTTCCCTTCCACTGATTTCAGAATGGTTTGTATTCCTTTTTAATTTAGGGATCCATCTCAAGAATAAACGCCCAAACATCTTCTGTTGTTCTTGGAACCAAAACCGATATACCCAATATTTTGACAGGAAAGAACCAAACCAAATAGGCAGAGAGAAAACTAGCACTCTGTCAGCTCCGGTGTATCCCTCACTCAGGTGCTTTACCTGTAGCAGGATGTGAGGAGTAAGCTCTGCAGGTCAACCTCTGGTTACCTTCTGTACTGCCACCGTTTCCTAGGCAATTGTTTTCTTGGAAGAGCTAAGCCAGAAACCAGGAAGAAAACAAAGGAGATGAAGACCCTAGTTCTGGAATTTTTGCTTTCTTTAGCCTACAGAGAAGGCTATACTGACTCTTAGCTGTTTGTGCTCTGGGACTTCCTTAAAAACTGAATGGATGCACTGCCTTAATTTTCTCCCACCATGCCTTCTAAGTGCCTGGGGAAACTAGCTAAGAGTAAGTGTTTTAGGAAAGCATTTGCAAGGGTTTGTGTTTTTAGGGATAGCTGAAAGCTCTCTAACTGCAGTGACTGATGTTTTACGCAGCTGATGACTTTCTCTTTCTTGCAGCTGCTATGATATGGACAGTTGGAATGGCAAAGCCAGACACAGCAGCAAGAGGACGGAGTCAGCAGACGTGGGATGCAGGTTTGCTCGCATGTCACTCTTCCATACAGTGCGCTGTCCCCTGGACATAGTGTGTGTGTTGGAGGCTGCAAGTAACTGTAAGGCCCTGAATCCTGACGGACGCAGGGGTGTTTTTCAGTGCTCTTACGTTAGTCGCAGAACTTGGTGTTCTGAAACCTGCTGTGAGGACTGGCAGTAAAGATGACCAGACGCTCCAGCATTCAGGCTGCTTCTGTTTAAAAACTGAACAAACAGAAAGTCAAACAAGTGTTGTTAAACATACATCTTCAGATGTACTGAAGTCAGAGCTGAAAGTGGGCTAGTGGAGGTTTGTATTTTTGCTAACTGGGGATGGTAAATTACAGCAGAGGCTCATAAATACAATGCCCGTGAGCGGGTGAACTTACGTGTGCTGCAGCGTGTTGCGTTCAGGGCACTCCCGTACAGCAGACATGCTTTTATACCTGGCTGTGAGTGCAGTATGGCTCACCCTGCCAAAGGAAATGAAGGCCTTTACCCTTGGGTAAAGGCGTACGTTTGGGCAGCTACCCGACAGCCGCTGATGTGCTCCAAGTTCACGTTCTAGCTGGTCCTGTGGTAACGTGTGTGTGCGTGTGCTTTTATCTTCTTGAAATGCAAGTTAAACTGCAGTTCTAAGGTGACTGAATAATTGAGGGTGGGAGGATTTCCCGTCTGGTCCTGTTGCGTTTCAGAGATGACAATACCTTTCTATGCTAAAGCAATAAATGTATGCTAAGGTTTGGGAACCAAACACGCTGCTTTTTTTGGGATAGAGCAGCCAATGTACTAACCGCAGGGACAAAATCCTGCTTTGAAACTGAGCACAGAGCTGGCACAAACTACATGCTGAGGCACACAGAATGTCTCTGTGGAAGCTCCGTGTGTCCCAGATCACAGTCTGCTTGCATCTGCAGCAGCAGCATCTTGTCAGACTGACGTGGACTGGAAAGGTTTTCTGAGTGCTTCTGAAAAATAGGAACTGTCAAACTAATATACCACAGACTGGCCGCTTCCAAAAGCACCACCAAGGGCTCTGTTAGATGTATTTAACAGGGGGAGAAAAAAAAATCAATCTGTGACCAATGTGCCTACATTCTACATGTGAACGCCCAGTTCCAACGTCAGTGTGATTCAGGGCAGAACTTTTCTCATAAACGGCAGCCCTCTTAGTCACCTGGCTTTGTCATACGACCAGTTAGGGAATACCTGCGTGCCTCCACCCCAGAGATACAACAGCGTAGGAATGCGTATGGATGTCACTTGGTTCTCCTTGCCGTTCTGGCCTGTGCAGAGCGATGCTCGGTTCTGCGGATGTACTCACTTGTTAAACTCCTGGGCGGCTGCCAGAGAAGCTGCGAACGTGTGCCCTTCCGACCGTGTCAAATAACAACACGCGGTTTTCCTCAAGCCACTAAGTGTCTCTGCTTGAACTGGCCCTCATTATCCAAGAAACAAAGGGCTTGCCCGTTCCAGGGAAGCTTTATGGAAGTGTGGCTTTTGTGCTTTAAAACAAGTTATAAATGTAGCTACCTCTCGTGTTTCTTCTCTTTGTCTGCTCTCCTTGGCCTGCTCTTGTGGAACCAAGCTGAGGATGGGCGAGCGAACCACGGGAGCCCCTCACACGCAGACTCTCTGATGTCGGAAACGAGGAGTCCTGTTGGAGCACGCCCCACCGCTTCTTTAGAGGAGCTCGAGGAGGAGGAAAGTAAGGGAAGCACTAATGTCTTGTTTTCAGCGTAGTCAGAGCCTGGTGTTTTTACTCCTTGTGGTTAAGGCTCTGTTCCCCATTTTGGTCTAATTGTAGTTAATTTTAAGAGTTGTGACTCGCTGAACAACAAATATCTCAAGTCTGCTGTGTGTTCCCGCTTGCTGCTGCAGAATCTGTTCTGAGACTGTGGTTCCAATGACCCCTCTTGACTGTGCAGACAGTTTAAACAGTTCCTTCTTCCCCTAGCCTCCCATCCCTCTCCGTCGTCACGCTTCCTCAGCTGGTAGGTACATGTGCACAGCAGCCCCGGGAAGCACCTTGGAGAGTGAGGCTGAGCAAAAACAGCTGTGGGAGAGGGGGCTGGAAGCCTCAGCCTCCTCAGTAACATGTGGGATGCTCAGGGTGCAGGTTGGTAGCAAGGACTAGGATCCTTTGCCTGCTTCCCAGGGGACAGGAATTTGTTCAGCATGAAGCAAAACAGGAGGAGCAGATTTAACACTTGTTTTCTTTCTCTGTTTCTCTCAGGGGGTGTGAAGCTGGGCCTTGGAGACTTCATATTTTACAGTGTGCTTGTTGGGAAAGCAGCTGCCACAGCTAGTGGGGACTGGAATACTACGCTGGCCTGCTTCGTAGCCATTCTCATAGTAAGTGAGCGAGTTTTTTAAAACTCTGTTATGCCCTGTCTAGCACAGCAGTGTTGCCAGAAATAGCAGCAGCTGAGCACTGCTACATCACTGCAGGTAACTGCTGCGTATTCAGGAGAGACCACCCAGTGCCCTGTCTGTAAAGGAAGGCTTGAGACAGCCACTGAGGCTGAATGGTAGGACTCGCTCTCAGCCAAGTGTGGAGTTGGTGGGGGTGGAACAGCCCCAGGGCTGAGCTGTTAGTGTGTTTGCTTCGGCCTTAAAGGACTGGGGGCTTCTGTCAGCCATGAAGAGTCAATGTTAGGAGCTCTACATGGATTAGCAAGTGTTGCTGGAAAGGTTTAACTCCCTCATGCTAAGGAGAACTGCAGGATAAGGGGATGAAAACCTATCTTGTTGTGGCGTTTGAGCTGGAAAGCAACAGGAAAGAAGAATACTTAAAAATCCCTGGAAATTATCAGTAAAAGCAGGTGACTATCGTACTGTAACAGCTAAAGGACTCGGTCCTGCTGGGTCTAATGGCCATGCACTGCTGAGCTTTCACCTAGGTAGAACATAATTACTAGGCATTTGCTGTTTACATCGGCATCCTCACAGAAACTAACCAGAAGGGCGACAGCAGGTTTTTAGAAGGTAGAATGAATTACTGTGTCCTCCTCAGGCCTTTGTTTCCCCACTTAAATCCCAAAGACAGTGCAAATAACTTTCCCTTGTGAGGATTGTGGATCAAAAAACATGAGGATTAGAAATGAGCGAACTTAAATAGTGTGCTGAGTGTACCTTTCCTCCTTCACAGGTCAGAGAAACCTACAGGATCACCTAGCGCCACATTCAGGGGTCTGGCACAGGGTCTCTCTGCTGGGGGAAATGTTCACTCTTGTCTGTCCCTGAGGCCAGATGTCCCATTCTGTTCTTTTAGGGTGCTGTTAAAATTTGTTGTGTCTCCTTTTGCAGTTTCATAATCTTGGTGCTGTGTGGCTTTCTGGTTCCCCAAAATGTCCCAGCAGAGAGCACATCTTTAAATGCAGGTGTGGACTAAGGAGCAGGTGTAGGCCAGATAGGGTGCCTGAGAGTCTAAAGAACAGAGCTGCAGGGTCAGCTGGATTGCAACCAAACTTGCAGTCTGATTTAAAAAAAAAAAAAAAATAAAAAATCCTATTTGTTCTCTAATTAGTGGATATTTTTTGAAGCCTAGTGACTCAGAAGTTTTGTCATGCAGGAGGAATTTAAAAGGGCTCAGATGAGAGCAGGAATCCGTACCTGCATGCACTTTGCCATGCTGTCTACCCAAGATGTACAAAAGCTTTCAAACATGCTCCAAAAAAACAGATCTTGGCCTGCTATGCAGGTAAACCCAGAATTCACCTATCCTAGTCAGTAATCCAGTCAGAAGAACAGCAGCACATATTTTGGTGTGGGTATTTTTTTCTTTTTCTGCCCCAAGAGACCTTGAAACCTGGGAAGGTGTTAGAAGTACATGCCGCTGTGTATCAGAGTCCTCCAGTGAAACTCCATACCTGTGCCGTTCACCAGGATTTATCTGCCGGATCAGTACTTCCTACATCATGGCCTAGAACAAAATGTAAACCAACCTGTACATGAATGAACCCCTCAGGGTCCAGCTGTATGTCAGCATTAGCTGCTCATACGACTTCTCAGCAGAGAGCTGCACTCAGGGCTGCTGGAGGGAATAACCTGGGCAGCTTGGGTGAAAGAGGAAGCTGGGGGTGAATGTAGCTCCGGCAGGCTTCAGAGGCTGCACAGCTTATTGTTTGTATATGGGGTATACAACAGTGTATATTGATGACAGGTACGTTTCTGGGCTTCTTACTACATCTCCATGTGTTTGTTCTCTTCTCTCTGGCAGGGTTTATGCTTAACTCTTTTATTACTGGCTGTTTTTAAGAAAGCACTGCCTGCTCTTCCCATCTCCATCACCTTTGGCTTGGTGTTTTACTTCTCGACGGACAACCTTGTGCGCCCGTTCATGGACACCCTGGCCTCCCACCAGCTGTATATTTAGAAGAAGTGGGAGTTAGAGGATTCTTTTGAAAGCTTTGCTGTGAAGCACGGTATGCTGTTTGGAATAAGTCATAAAGTTTTACACTTAGTGCCATATGTGTGTAAGGAAAACACTAACTCTGTGACATGATGTGTACTAAAAATTGAATAGTTATGTGTTGAACTGGGATTTGTCACTGGATTCTTGGACTTCAGTGAAAAGCCTGGCTCGCTGCTGCTGTCAGGGCATCGCCTGTACGTTATTTGATGTGCACACTGGCAGTTGTGAGCACAGAAACCTGTACGTAGCACAGGACAGCGGGGAGGTGAAAGGTCTGTGCTTCCAGAAGCTAAAGTGTTTTAGCCCTGGAATTGCAGACGAGTGTAACTGTGCTCTAGAATTTCCAACGCTTCACGCTTCAGAAGTGTTGTGCAAACCTGCGGTGTGAGCAAGTGGTATTCAGAAAAGCACAGCAGCTGGCGTGCACGGCACGGAGCGGCGCATCGCACCTGCTCGGGAGCGCTCGGAAAGCGAGGCTGAACTTCGTAAGCTGGCCTCTGTGCACACAACTTCGGCTGAAACTGCCCCAAATTGCCTGTTTATTCTGACCTTTGTTAGACACAGCGAGCCGTGAGGGATCTGGACAGGATGGCAGCGGTGGGCCCTTTATACAGCCGGCTCCTGGTTCTGACCTGCTGACAGGTGATGGAGGCAGGGCTGCCCCTTCCAGCACACCACATCTTCCGTGTGGGAAAACACATGCTTTTTCCTGTCTCCTCATTAATCTCTTTTTGGAAATCTTTTCCTGGGTCCATACTACAATCCTGGCATTACCATAAGGTGGAAATTACTGCACAACTCCAGTAAATCAGTTGGCCTGTAACTTCTTGTGTGTATTTCTGGTCTCATTTCTGTGCGTTGTTGTAACTACTCCAGAGGAGGATTTACCTTCCCTTTATGAAGAGGTCCTCTTACGCTGGTTGAGGCTTGGTTTACCTCCGTTTTGGTAGTTTAAAGATTTTTTTTTTTAGTTAATAATTTAAAAATAGCTACTTACTGTCAAAGGGATTCTCTTGGCAATACCCTGTCATAGTTTGTATCAAAATATGGGGGTGCAAACTGTAATATGCTCTGACATTACTCTACATTAATGCATCGTTAATGCTGGGAGTATTTATGCACCCTCAAGCGAGTTCATTGGAGGAAAAAAAAACCCAACCAAACATACTGCTTGTTGCCAGTAAAAATCACAGGTCTGACTGAATCTTACTGTTTTTTCTACCTTTAAAAATCTTATTTCTATTTCTACTCTGAGAATCAGTTTTCTAGAAATAGCCAAGTTCTGTGATTTTTTTTTTTCCCTCTCTGAGAAAACTGAGTATCTGCTACGCAAGCAATCTCTGTTTAATTTGACAGCTGATCAATGCCAGTGTTTCAAAATGCAGCGTTATGCAAGGTTTTTTGAATAATGCCATGTCACTGTGAGATGCAGAATTTCATCTCTGAAAATACTTTTTTGATAAAGCTTTGAGCTACGCATTTTTAAGAGTACTTTTTCCAATAGACATGTTCAAGTTAATCTTCTGTACTGACCAAGGATGTAACACAGGTGACTTAAACAAGTTTTTACAAAGCATGTGTAAGGGTTTTTGAGTTGTGCGTGTCTTAGTTTGGACTAATAAGTTAATTTTTGCTCTTTGTGTGTTCTGTCCTCGTTCCTTACGTTTGCAGTGTTTGGACTTAACAGCTGCAGGCCAGGTTAATTATTACCAAAAGATATTTTCTTTGGAAACATAAATCACTAGAGCTCTATCTACTGATCTTCAAGGTTTATGTGCAAATTGCTTTTTCTTTTTGTTTATTTGTTTTGTTTGGGTTTTTTTGAACTGAAACAGTTATGGGGCCAAATCAGAATACAATCACTTGCAAATGTGATTTCACTTTTTGCACTGGCTGGTGTAGAGCGGATGTGAAATATATATATGTACTAGAAGAAAAATCCTGTTTGGCTTGACAGGGTTGTAGCATATTGTTGGAAACAGTTTATTTCTGTGAAAGCAGGGTTGGTGTCTGAAGGAAGCTGAAGAGGTACCTTCAGGTATTGAAGGGTCACTACTGGAGCTGGTGGTTTGCTGCAGATTTGCACTTGCCAAAGATTGGCCTTCCACTGAGCAATTCTGCGTAACTTCCAAAAATTGTGATTTAAAAGGTAATTAAGCAACAGATTCTGTGGGTGCAACAAAATGTATTGTCCTGGTGAGCGATAGGAGTATATTGTGTATCTACTGGAGTATTTTAATTGTGCATAAATTCATATGTAATTACTACAAATATATTCATTGTGTGTGTTTGTGTGTATACACGCACACAAGTTTTAAAGCAATACTGAGTGATTTCTCATTTCATTGGATACTTCCACCTGTACATACAAGTGAAGTTTTGTTCCTGAGGTTACCCTTGGTTGTGAAAATGCACAGGGTTTACTCTACTCCCTGGTTGGCTGCTGCGTGAGATACTGACCCAGTGACCCAACAACCTGAGTGTCAGACAAAAGCATCTCCGGCTGCTGTGCTCATTCACCGATTTCACCCTTTTTTTGAACTGCAATCCCTCTCACCCTGAAGAAATCCCAGTGCTCCCACTGATGCGCATCCCGGAAAAAGCCCACCTGTCAGGTAGGCTGGGGTGATGCTCCTCTTGATGCAGGTGTCACTCAACAGCCTGAAGTCCTGCAGGAGGTGGCATTGTCATACAAGATCCCTGTCACATCCGCTCCCCCAGTCTGAAGTGTCTGATTGCACCGAGTCTCAGACCTGGCTTGGGCATACGTCAGTCTCTGTCGGACTGAAGCGAAGTCCACGAGCGCAGACGCAGGGGCGAGCCTGCCTGCTGCAAAGCCAGGCTCTTCGTTGGAGGGAGGTAAGAGGCCTCCTTGCAGCATTTAGTGCCTTTGGTAGAAGCATGTGCGACTCAACCAGTCTGGCGTTGCCACCTTCTGACTCGTGCTTATTGCTGCGTCTCCTCTTGCCACTTCACTGCTGCTTTTGGTTTCCGTTGCTTCTGGGGTTGTTTTAAGTGTCTGCTGTGCATCAGAGACTGGCGATGCGTTCTGCCCCCGCAGAGAGAGCGCAGAAGCAGCAGCAGGGTTGTTAAGTACGAGAAACAGGACACTCCTGGCAGAACCATGGAGTGTTTCCACAGCGGCTCTCACTGGATACTCAGGATCTCCTTCGTAAATCCTAACTTCAGGCTCTGAAGGGCAGTCCCTGAGAAAGGGGTCTGGTCTGTGCTGGAAATGTCTCCTTCTGGTGCACAGGGAGAAAAGGGCGCGTTTGCAACACGAGGTGTCTTGGCAAGAGCTTTATAAACACTGCTGAAGCTGGGGTAACCTGGGTGAGTAGATGCAGCAGGGTCACAGCACGTGTCTACCGCAGATGGGAAGAGGAGCAGGGGTCTGCTCTCCCCTACCAGGCACTGGTGAAGGCTCCTCCATGGGGCTGTCGGATGAAGTTGGATGGACCATCTCTTGCCGAGTAAATGGCACTTGCTGACGGGATGCTGGTGAAGCATAGCTCAAGGCCCACTGCCCTGGGAAAACTAAGTACTTGGAGGTCTCCTTGCTACCCCCAAACCAGTACATTTCTCTGCTTTGTTCTTCCTAGGTACTTCCAGTTAATCCTGCAGTGTGTTTGACCTGTAGCTCAAATTGTGTTTTGGTTTAAATAGAATACACGGTTATTTTATTGTTGCCCTGAGTCCCTGTTTCTGGCACGTTGGCAGCCACGGGAGGGCAGCAAGCCTGTATGGAGAACTACCGGCCATTTTAAAATGCTCTGCTCTGTGTCCAGTGTTTTCCAGTGAGGCTGAAGGCCCTGGAGTCTCCATCGCAGCACGAGAAAGCAGGCACCACACGGGAGAGGCTTTGAGTGAGAGTGAGCTTGGACCAGAACCCATTTAAAACCAGCAGGTTTCGATGCAATGCCCCATTCACTGCAGCTCTGAGTGAGGTGTTGCTGTTACCTTGCACACCCGTGTTGTTTGGGTCCCCCCCTACATATTTTTTTAAAGCATTCAGTCCTACAAACCCCAAGCACAAGTCAACGGCTCCTCTAGACATCACAAAATTAGATTTTCTTCTGAGCATCTTCAAGAATGAAAAGAATAATTATACTTACTGCTTTGTCATTCTTCCTCTCGCCTGCAGGCTCTTGTCCTGGCAGGTCTTGCTTATCTGGGGGAAAAAAGGGCACACTGTGTCATTCCAGCACTCGGCACTGGGGAATCTAGGACCAGGAGCTACCTAGTTTTCTTGAACTCAGTTGTTCTATACGAAAGCAGCCTGGACAAATGTAGTATCTTTGCCAGAACTACTCCTACCACGCTGTTCACATGCCCCCAAACACGCTGCTGCATCGGAGACGCAAGTCCTGTGAGGAGGGGCTGAGGGAGCTGGGGGTGTTCAGCCTGGAGGAGGCTCAGAGGAGAGCTGATCGTCCTCTACAGCCACCTGAAAGGAGGGTGCAGAGGGTTGGGGGCTGGTCTCTTCTCCCAGGTGACAAGAGGAAATGGCCTCAAGTTGTGCCAGGGAAGGTTTAGGTTGGATATTAGGAAAAATTTCTTCCCTGAACGGGCTGTCAGGCACTGGAATGGGCTGTGCAGGGAGGTGGTGGAGTCACCACCCCTGGGGGTACTGAAGAGACGTGTAGATGAGGTGCTTAGGGACACGGTTCAGTGGTGGACTGGCAGTGCTGGGTTAACGGTTGGACATGGTGATCTTAAGGGTCTTTTCCAACCTAGAAGATGCTGTGATTCTGTCCCTCATTGAATTTATCCTTGCTTACCCTGCCCCCAGTGGGGTGATGTGAACTGTTCCCATTCTACAAAAGAGTACGAGAGGAAATACTGGGTTTAAGCTTGGTTGCGTTCTGCCCACACCAGATCAGGGCATCAAATGCGGTCACACAAGTCACCATTTCTTTTACATCTTCCCTTTGCTGCAGGTTCGCTACCACCCATCTTTACCACTCTAAATTCAAGACATTTGATCTGTGAGCACTCGAGGAGTTAAGTGAATATGAACTGTTACCTTCTCCTTCGTGTGACACAT